TCTGCTTGTGGCTTCCCGGAGGATCTGGTTGGCCAGTGTGGGAATACTGCATCTGATAGCAGGGCTCTTCTTTTGTTCCTACATCACACAAGCATTTCAGAAGAAACTTAGTTTGGTAGAATTTTTAAGATCACTAATTTAATTCCAGTGGCACTAAATCAACTAATTGTCATGATAGCCATTTGATCTGCTATGTATAAATAATGAATAAAGTATATGAATATTTAAAAATCTGGCACTGAAAGTGTGTCATGGATATACTAGCCATAATGCATGTAACTACCAGTCTCTTGGTATGCCTGAGTTCTTAATAATAAACATGCTGGTTTCTGACAACACTTGATATAAAATATTTCAAACATATTGGAGTAGTTTGATTCTTTCATTTCTTAAAAGGTGTAAAAATTCCCTGCTAGAGGGATGCACCATTGCACTGGAAACAACCAGAAACTACAGAAGAGTCAATGTTTTCAGAAGACTTATTAAATAACAAAAATAACTCTAGTCCAAATGTATTTTGTGCAATATATATTTCAGGAGACTATTACTTAACTCTGGTAGCTATAATTTATCTTGGTATTAAGGCTTGGAATAAAGATAATCTGAGTCACTCTTGGATAATATTGCCCTGAAGAAATGCAATACAGCCTGAAACATGTTCAAACAGCAAATATTTTTGTAATTTAATAAGTCATCTGTAGACCTTTTATGTTCCTAGTCTACATCACTTGTGGTGCCACTACACACTTTTTGTGTAAAAATTATTAGGCTACACAATGAACTCATAATGTTAGCATGCTTAATTGGGATAGCCACAACAAATTGGAAGGAATTCATACGAATGTCTACCAAATTTTTTACTAGCCCCTAAAGGTCATTAATAGTAAATGGATCTTTAGCCTTTAGCAGCTGACAAGGCTCAGCTCCATGCTGTGAAGAGGTTTATCTGCTGAGTTCTGCAAATTAAGTTGCTGTTAACAGCACAAGAGCAAGCCAAGTGTACCCCCCAGTAATCAGTTAGAAAGAGGGTTGTCAAGGATTCTACAGATACAGAGTCTGATTAGCCGCCCCAAGAGAGAGACTTACTGTCTCTATTGTAAGAAATATTTTAAACAAGGACAAAAAGCAAATTATTATATTCCAAAAACCCATTCTTTCCCTGAAGGCACAGAGTGGGCTGAGAAATCAAAACACTTCTTCAATGTGTCACAGATCGGCTGCTACAAGAGTGTACATTTTATCTCTAAAATGTTTAGGAGAAAACCAACATCTAGATGAGCAAAAGATATGGGAGAAAGCCAACATCTAGATGAGCAAAAGATATGGGAAAACAGTAGAGCTTTCTGCTCCCCATAAGCATGTTCTCAACCTCAGGTTTTCCTAGCATCAAATAGAAACTGTTATATTTAAATATTTTAAAATTTTGTGGGTGTTCAATATTTAATGATTTTTTAAAAAAATAAACAAGACCCTCCACATTCTTCCACAGTTTTCCTGCTCACGTCCCGTAATCACCTAGTTTTGTGCTTGACTGGGAATTCTTTTTAAAACTTGCTCATATGAAAAAAAATACCCTACACAGTCCTAACATATATATATAACATATAATTGACATCACATGATGTCAATTTTGCATGTAGGTGCATATTATACACTTCCTCAAGCCTCAAATTAGATCACAAAAATTCTATGCTGACTGATCAATAAGTCATATTGAAGGGGTTTTTTTGGTTAATTTTTACTGGTAGGCATTATTAGGAATACTGTAACATTTCTCATGACATGACAACCTATTTCCCTACTTAGAGGAGTGCTCTGCGTGGGCAGCTGTCCTGTCACATGGGCAGCTCATTTTAGGAGATGCTAGGGTGCTCTTTAACATTTCTCATATTCTCACACACTTTGATAAGGCTTGACAGATGCCATTCTGGCTGCTCCTGGGGAAAGTTAATTCCCACATTGCACTGCTCAGGCTGGTGGTATGAAATCAGCACCATCAGCCTCTAATAGTCAGAAGGCAACAATCATAAGAACATAAGAGATGCCAATGTTGGATCAGGCCAAAAGCCCATCCAGTCCAACACTCTGTATCACACAGTGGCCAGAAAATCCTTATGCTATTCTCCATAGTTAACACAGCTCATAGTGCAAAACATAAAGCCAGTGCAGTTCAGGAGACCCCTAGCCATTTCAATTCAGGGAAAATCCCTGGTGGGCCACTGCCATAAAGAGTGAAGACCCAATAACACTGCCACTTATTTTGGGTCCACTCAGACCTGGTCAGTGGTACCAGCGATGGTGTAGTGGTATAGTGGTTTGGTATAGTGGTTAACTGCACGGACTCTAATCTGGGAGAACCGGATTTGATTCCCCACTCCTCCACTTGCACCTGGCTGGCTGGCCTTGGGTAAGCCGTAGCTCTAATAAGAGCTGTTCTTGAAAAAGAGCAGTTTCTATCAAGAGCTCTCTTAGCCCCGCCTACCTCACAGGGTGTCTGTTGTGGGGTGGGGAAGGGAAAGGAGTTTGTAAGCCGCTCTGAGACACCTTTGGGTAGCGAAGGGCAGGGTATAAATCCAATCTCTTTTCTTCTTCTGGCAGTGGTACAGGGAGAAGCAGTGGGTGAGGTGACACCTCCCCATTGGCACTGCTGGCCAAGTCTGAGCTGAGTGGCCTGTGCAGTTCTGGCTTGTAGGACCCGGGCTATTTTCACTTCCTAGTCTGCCCCTGGTGCAGCTGACACAGTTAGGGTAGCCAAGACAGAAAAGAAAAAGGCCCCAAGCTTGGTGCATGTGGGAGACATTTCATTTAATCAAGCATTTTCCTGGAAATCAGCATGGATGCGCATACCTTATCAATGGTACTAGGTGTGGTATTGCACAAATCTTCATACATTTATTTTGGGAGATATTATATTTTAAAAAATAATGTTGAACAGACATTGTTGAGGTAGAGCAGAATACCAGTACACCAACACATAGATGTATTGGAAAAGATCTTGCAAAATTCCTTCTACGTTAAGAACCGTAAAGGAATACTCTGTACATGAAGGCACTCATCAGTTACATATTTCTGTCTTCCTCCCAAAGGGCTGTGACTGTACACAGGTGCTGGAACAAGCTGCCAGCAGCCCCATGAATAGGCACATGGATGGAATGCTGCAATTGGCACAGATCGTACACAATTGCACAGAAGCAGGGCCAAACAAGTGCCAACAAAACATTCTGAAATCTAGGAGCCATCCATCTCAAGGAACCCTGCAAGCGGCAGTTCAGTTTAATCTGCACTTTAAAGAGTTTATTTATTTAGTGTATTTTTATCTCACCCTTTCCTCAAGAAGCTCAGAGTATCAAACAGCATTCTCCCCTTCTCCAGTCAACCCTATGAATTAGGTTAAGCAGAAACAGAATGATTGGCTCAAGATCTCCAAGGAAGACTCAGGGAAAGCTGGGATTTCAAACTGGGTCCGTTCAGGTCTAGTTCAACACTCTATGCACTATACCACACACACTATCACTATAGCTTCTATAAATCCATTGATCTGCTATAGTATGTAACATATAAGGTCAGCTATAGTGATAGTATGTGTAGTATAGTGCATAGAGCATTGGACTAGACCTGGACAGACCCACTATAGCTGACTTTATATGTTACATACTATACCAAATCAATGGATTTATAGAAGCAGACTAGGATGACCTGGGGAAAATCTTCTTCATAATTTCTTAAGAACATAAGAGAAGCCAATGTTGGATCAGGCCAATGGCCCATCCAGTCCAACACTCTGTTGCACAGTGGCCAAAAATACCAGGTGCCATCAGGAGGTCCAGCAGTGGGGCCAGGACTCTAGAAGCCCTCCCACTGTTGCCCCCCCCAAGCACCAAGAATAGAGAGCATCACTTGCACCAGACTGAGAGTTCCTATCTATACCTTGTGGCTAATAGCCACTGATGGACTTCTGCTCCATATGCTTATCTAATTCCCTCTTGAAGCTGTCCACGCTTGTAGCCGCTGCCACCACCTCCTGTGGCAGTGAATCCCATGTGTTAATCACTCTTTGGGTGAAGAAGTACTTCCTTCTTGTATTGTGAGAAAGGGAGAAAAATACTTTTTTCTCTACCTGCTCTATTCCATGCATAATCTTACAAACCTCGATAATGTCACCCTTCAGCCTCCTTTCTCCAAGCTAAAGAGCCCCAGCGCGTCAACCTTTCTTCATAGAGAAAGTGTTCCAACCCTTTTATCATTCTAGTTGCCCTTTTCCCAATTTCCTGAACATGCTGCAAGCAACTAAACCAAAACCTTCTACGCCTACAGCTTCCTCCTCAAAAATAAAATAAAATAGCATAAACAAGTAAATAAAATTATGTCTTACAGATGACCCACACCCTCAAATAACCAGGCTCGGCAGCTGAAAAGATAGTGCAACTTGCGTGTTCAGAGACACGTATGTCTCCCGCGATCACCTAACTGGCCAGTGTCAGCAACAGAAAACCAGCCTATCCAGTTGCTCTCTCCGATTCATACAGAGCTCATTTCGCATTTTACCTTAGAACACGGCATAGATAACATACAAAGCCGCGACCGAGGAAAACGCGTCAGAAGCCGAGAGGACAACATTTATCGCCTCACGCCCTTTTTCCTACCACGCAGCCCAGCTAACGGGGAAGGAGGGGCGTGCGCGAGGATCTTCTGAAGCCGCGCTCGAGCAAGATGTTGTACTCCACCTGGCCTCACGTGACAGCAGCGCGGCGGGGCGGGGCGCAGCGCCCTCAAGCAGTCAATCGGAGCCTTTTTACGCTTCTGTCCGCAGCCAATGAGGTGAGCGGTTGCGCAAGGCTCCCATCGGCGCCGGCCGACGCCCAATCCGAGCACTTGCTGCTGAAACGGGGCAGCCGGCGCGTACTCCACCTTCTCGCTTCGGCGCTCCTCCCTCGGGGGAGAGGAGGGGAGGAGACATGACTCCGCCTGGCTAGTAGCCCAGCCTAACCCAACCGTACTGAGCTGCGGTGCCTGGAGGCGGGAGGATCGGGGCGCCGCGATCTGATTGCCGTCGCTGAGTCGGTCGCGGAGGTAAAGAGGGCGACGCAGGGGATGGTGGTGCGCCAGGAATGGGGCGGGATTCGCGATCGCTGTCTTGACGGGGAGGCGGTTGGGCGCGCGGACTGACGGTTGGGCGAGGGAGGGGGGCAGGGGGAGTAGCGGCGGCAGCTGCTGCTCCGAGAGCGAGGGACGGAATCCACCAGCGCTTTCTCTGCCGCTGCGAGTGGACGGCGGTTGGGACGTTCCATGTGTCCGTGGG